GTACAGAGAAAGATGAAGCAAAGTTTCACTGAAAAGTTGATATCTGAGTAGAGACCTGACACAGTTTCAGGAGTGAATGTTGTAGTTCTCTAGAGAATGAACCAACCTTGCATTCCTGGAGTAAAACCCAATCTGGCAGAATGCCAGATTTTCTTTGTATTCCTTACTGGATTTTACTTTAGTAATTTTTCGACAGTCAGGATACCTTGGCTTATATTTTCTTGAGTATTAGGAAAATTGGATATCTATATGTAGACATTAGATCTCTCTCTCTCTCCCCCTGCACAAAAATCAACTCAAAGTGGATTGAAGACCAAAAAATTAGACAAGAAACTCTGCAGCTGCTAGAAGATATTACAGTCAACAATCCATCATGTAAATGCAGGCATCGACTTTCTTAATATGATTCTTAAAGCTCAAGAAATAAAACCAAGAATCAATAAGTGGGCTGGTCTCAAATTAAAAAGCTCTGTGCAGCAAAGAAACTAATCTAAAGCATGAATAGAGAGTCTACAGAATGGGAGAAAATCTTTGCTAACGACTTTTTTTTTTCCTGTACTAGGGATTGAACCCGAGTGCAGTTTATCAATGAGCTATTTTCCAAATCCTTATCCCAAGTCCTTTTAATTTTATTTTAAAAATTTGAGACACAGTCTTGTTAAGTTGTTGATGGTCTAGCTAAATTGCTGAGACTTCCTTGAATTTATGATCCTCCTGTTTCAGCCTCCTGAATTACTTGGATTATAGATGTGCAGCATTGTACCCAGTATCTGCTTCTGCTAGCTCTTCTTCTGACAGAGGATGATATATATATGTGTGTGTGTGTGTGTGTGTGTGTGTGTGTGTGTGTATTTGGACACCAAAAATTTTACCCAGTTAACAAATGAGAAAATGAACTAAATATTTCTCAGAAAGGAAATGCAAGTGGGCTAGGAAATATATGAAAAATGTTCAACAATTTTAGCAATCAGGTAAATGCAAATCAAAACTACACTGAAATTTCATGTCACCCCATTTAGAATAGACATTGCCAAAAATAGAAATAATGATAATAAATACTAGTGGGGATACTGGGAAAAGGAACACTTACACATTGTTTGTGGTTCTCCAAATTAGAAGAACCACTATGGAAATCAGAATGTGGATGCCTCAAAAGATTAGGAATGGAATCTCCATATGAACCAGCTATTCTACTCCTTGATATTTACCCCAAATCACAATACTATAGGAATATATGCATGCCAATGTTTCTAACAGTGCAATTGACATTAGACAAGTTGTGCATCCAGCCTAGTTGTCTGTCAACAAATGAATGGATAAAAAAAGTGGCATGTAGACTCAATGGGGTTTCACTCAGCCAGAATGAAGAAAGAAATTTGTTGGCAAATGAATGAAACTGAAGAACATTATGTTAACTAAAAAAGGTCAGGCTGAGAAAATCAAGGGTCAAATGTTTTCTCTCATATATGGAAACTAGGGAGAACAAAAAAAGGAATGATAAAGAGGATCTCATTAAAATATAAGGAAAACCAATAAAGTAGAGAAAATTGTCACCAGTCAAGGGAGGAAGGAAGGGAAAGGAAGATAATTGGAATGGAATCTACCAAATGATGCTATATGCATATAGGAATATATCACAATTGAGTCTATAATTGTATCATACCAATTAAACATAATAGAAGGTGTACTGGTAGAGTATAGGAAGGGAATCAGGGGTAGATGGAGGGAGGGAAAGGAAGGTACTGGGGAATTAAATTGATCCAATTGTGTTATATGCATGTACAAATATGTCCTAATGAATTTCCACTATCATCTATAATTATAATGCACCAAGAAAAACATAAACAAAAGCAAAGTCTTGTGATAGAATTAGAAAAGATATTTAGAAAATTCTAAATAGGGAGTAACTGCCCCATTTATAACTTTTGACCTTCAATGGTCATCAAAGAAAATAGATTATAATCTTCAGTGTAAAATACAAGGAATTAATGATACAGTTCAGCAAATGCTCCATGACTTTTAAGAAAAGACACTCTAGTTAGGTACAGTGGCACACACTGTAATTCCAGACACATGGGAGGACAAGGGAGAGGAATCACAAGTTTGAGGCCAGCCTGGGAAACGCAGTGAGATTGCCTCATAATTCAAAATAAGACTGGAGATGAGGTTCAGTGGTGGAGTTTGCATACAGGATCTGGTTTCAAAACCTAATACCACAAAAATAAGTAGAACGAAAGGAAGAAAGAAGAAGCACCTTGAATCTTTGCTAATATTTTCATAGTTTTGTTTTGCATATCCAGGGATGGAACCCTGGGACACTCTGCCACTGAACTACGTGCCCAGCCCTTTTAATTTTTTATTCACTTTATGACAGGGTCTTGCTAAGTTCCCCGGTCTGGTATGAACATGCCATCCTCCTGAGTTGCTGTGATCACAGTTGTGGACCACCATGCCTGGCTTATCTTTTTATTTTTGTGCTTACATATAAAGGACGTATTTTCACACCTAAAATAGGGCCCAGTCTTCCTGACATCATTCACCCCATAGGGAGGCCTTTGTCACTTGAGGTGAACACTGGAGTTGATTAGAAATGTTCTGCGTGTGTGTTCTGTGTGCCACAAAGGGGAGAAGGGAGTGCTGGACTCCTGGCCTCAGGGGACAGGACAGGAGCCATCCTGCTCTCCTCACCTCCATCGTCTTGATCTTTGAGGACACTCACTCCTGGGATCAGGATGATGGTGAAATAGCTGCTCTAATGAGGAGCTTGGCACACTGAGCCCCAGGGATGCAGAGGCTGCAGGAGGCAGCCTGTGACCACCTCACTCAGACGCCCTACCACAGCCAGGAAGCAGCACCTGGGCCTCCTCCAGAGATGAGCCTTCCGGACCAGGACTCAGTCCTTGTGTCCACTTAGGGGGGAGGAGACCTCCTGCTTTGGACCTTCAGGTGAGCCGCTGAGCACCACTGTGGGTGCAGTGGAGTCACAGGGGGTCTGACGGCCACTCAGTGTGTGCATTGGAATGGGGCGGATGCCTGGGGACAATTCCATCCTGTGGAGGTAGTGGGGGGAGGACAGCAGAGCTGCTCATCCAGCTGAGGCACGTTTCCTCCCATAGGTCTCAGGCTGGGCTCTGCATTCCATTCAGTGTGTGAGTCTAGTGTATTACCAACCATCTGTCCTGTCACAGCTGCTTTTTCTCCCTCAGGAGAGGACGACATTTCTCCCAGGGACATTCCAGTTATGAACCGTGATGAACTAAGCGTGTAACTTTGTAAACCCCTGTTTCATGAACACGGAAAATTTTGTTTATTTCTCTTTTCATAGTAACTTTTGCTTTTCACACTTTCTCTCATTTAGCTACTTGTTTGTTATCTATCCATCTGATTATTGGAAGAAGTTTGCTTAGGACAAAGCAGAGAATCTCTTCCGCATGGTTACCCAGCGTCTCTTAGACTTAATTGCTAAAGCAGTTTGCCTGCATTTCCAAGGCAGTCTTAGGTGCTTCACGTTGGAACGTGACATCTTCTAGTATTTGAACTCATCCAGTTGGGTGGATGCTCTCTACCTGCTACAGGGAACTTAATGGGCAGAGTTGGGCAGAACTGAAAATGAAGAGAATTGGGGGGCTATGTTCAGGAAGGAACTCTTAAGATTAACAAGAGATTATAAGATTTTATTATGCTACATTCATGAACATTTGGCAATGCTAGTTCTGCACTGAGCAGAGATCAATCAAGAGAGTCGCCTCAGAATCAGAGGATCTTAGCTGTGACCCTGTTTGTGGCAAACACGGACGGTGCACCTTGTGTCTGTGACCTTTCCTCATGGGTCTGTGGGATGAAACATGAACCTATATATCTGTAATGCGATGAGCCCTTCATCTGATTCTAGGTCATGGCAAAGGTGGATGGATACCATTGCTCAGAGAAACAGATTGCATAAGTTCATTCTGCCCTTTCTTTTCCTTTGAAGTCTTGGGATAATTCTGAAGGAATTATCTGATTCTTAGTGGCAGTCTAACCACTCGGCACAATATTTGAAAAAAAAAACAAGTTTAATAAAGACATTGGAGATTAAGGGAGGTATGAACAAGAGGAATGGTAGGAGAATGTAAATAAAGATCTGAATATTCCTGTGCTTCACAATATACGTGAGAAAAAATTCAGAATACTAGTTATTAAACTTTAGAGATGTTGAGTTTACTGGAAATGTTTCTACAAAGATACGTGGTGGGTCCTCATTCCCAGAATATCACAAAATAACGTCCAAAATGCTATCAAGAATTTTGTATTGCCGCGATCCAGGTTGATTCTGCTGTTGTTTGTATAGAACACATCAATTCTGTCTTTTTCTCCTCTTTTTTTTTTACCCCCATTGGATTCACCAGGAACATGGAACCCAGAAATCACACAGGTGTTTCAGAATTCCTTCTCCTGGGACTGACAGAGGACCCAGCCCTGCAGCCCCTCATCTTCAGCCTGTTCCTGTCCATGTACCTGGTCACCATCCTGGGGAACCTGCTCATCATCCTGGC